GAAAAAAAGGACTCCTCCACTAAGATGTGAGGGTCAGAGTGGTCGGACTGATGAGGCTGGGGAGAGGGGTCTGTGCAGGCCAGGCAGCAAAGATACCACACAGAAGAGAAACAAGGCCAGAGCCTTCCCTCCCAGGGCAATGGGTCCTTCGAGGAAGAATGTCTGCTCAGGTCAGACCTGCACTTGGGCCAGTCGGTTACACAGCGTCAGGCTCGATTCCAGCAGGATTTGCCCAGCACCAAGCTGTGTGTCAGCAGTGGCGTTGTTCTCCTAGAAAACCCAGCTCAGCACCAGTGCCATTGCTCTTGGCAAACACAGAACATTGTAAAAAGAGAGAAGGCAGAGAACGAAATCCTCCAAGTGCCAGGACATCTGAGCACATCCAAACGTTTACACGGGATGTCCTGAGCACTCTGCCCACGAGGCACCGGGCATTTGGAGAACTCTGGCCACTGATGGCTAAGTCTGCTCCCCCAAAGACCCCCGCCTTCTCTCAGGCCCTATAAGGAAGCCCAGTCCTCTTTGCTCCCCACGGATGGCCCTCTGTCTGCCTGCACCCAGGTATTCAATCCTCTGCCATGTTGACCTTACAAAAGCTCTTGAGTGGCCCTGCCCCTTCATTTACAGGTATCCCCTGGAGTTCACATTAACATGTGTATGTCCCCATTATGAATTCCAGATCCGCACCCTTCACTGATTTCCACAGGTAAATGTGGAGAATAATTCATGGGTTTGCCTGTAGTTATGAACTCTCATCTAATTTAAAAATACAGCAATAAGAACACAGACTTCCTTCATAAGGCCTCAGGATACATGCAAATGTGTGTTTTCTTAGACTTTAGCAACCATAAGATGCAAATTATTTTGAAGCACATCATTGAAAAATACTGCCTCACATGTGAAATGTGGTATTACACTATTACTAAAAGACTTTATAATCTTTTAGAAAATGTACTACACAGACAGGACCAATGAATACAGAATTATATAATCACCAAAAGAAGGTTCTAGAGTTCTCAGAATGGTCTCTTGGCTTTTCCTACGCTGATATCGGTGCCAAAAAAATTAGGTTGTAACTATTGTTTCTCTCTGTGGCTGAAGAGACATTTCCAAGTAGGGAATGAATCGGTTCATTCAGAGGCCTTGCAAATGGGCTGCGGCCTCTTGTTACGCACAATGGGCCCCACAAGGATGTTCAGGACAAAACCAGCTTTTATTTTTCAACCAGTTGACAAGATCCTCACATTTGAAGGAATTCCACCAAAGTAGTGAGTTTACTTAGATTTATCTGTTCTTGCATCTCAATTTCTATGCCAGAACATTAGGTAGGCCAGACAGTTCCCGCTTAGGAAAGGCAGCTAGATTTTTTTCTTAATAACAGGGTGATCATATGTTGCATAAAACCCAAATTACAGGGGACACAGCAATAGCCAATAGACTCCATCTGATGTAATAACATGAAATAATAACACTTGAAAAAAAAGGGAGAGAAGAGTTACTGGAGAGAGCCAGCTCATGAGGAGGGACAGGGTTAAAAAGCTGTACCTGTTCCAGTAAGCATAACTTCTGCTGTTGTTACAGTTGTACCTGAATAAATCGGCTTAATGTACTTTTGAAGCTGATTCTTTAAAGGCAGAACAGCACAACAGTTGAGAAAAGAGGTTGTAACGCACTTCCTCCCCACCCTCTTGGCCCACATTGACAGCGTCTGTGGTCTTTGACTTACGCAGCATCCTGTCTCACTATGACTGGCCTGAAGAGTCGAGTAACTGTCACCAACAATACAGTACCAGACTGAAGGTCCTGCTTGGGGCGTTACATGGAACCGTTCTGTCAGCTTTCTTTTTTAATATCATAGAATGCCTGCAGGAGCCAAATACAAAGCTGAAGCCGCAAAGAATTAAGTGTAATCTAACGCGACGGCTTCAGAGCATGTCAAACATTTCTGTGAGACGGGAAAAGAATTTCCAAGCACGTGCCCCTGGAGCGCGCTGCTCCAAGGCTCCTAGTATTGTGTCCACCTAAGCAGAGGAGCGAATGTATTACTAGGCTGGCCCAGGGCTGTAATGACAGCTTGGACTAGGAAAGAGACACAGTGACCCAGGGACAGGAGAGTACTGAGCAGAGGAGACGGTTCTTGGGGACCGCCAGCACCCAGCCTGCATTCCATCGCCCTGGCTCAGACCAAGCTAGGGGTGGGCGGCGTGGACCTGCAGCCCCGACCCTGCTCAGCTGCAGGCATCCTTAATGCTCCTTAGGGCTGTACAGTTCAGAAGCACTCAATAGAAACCATAATGGAAATGCAACGCGTTAAGGGCTGGCCAAATAGCTCAGTGGATTAAGGCACCGGCTTAGGCAGATGCAGCAGCCAGGGTTCAATCCCCCAGCGTGCCATGCCAGCCCTCCCCCCACGGGCATGCTGAGACAGCAATTGAGACTGGGCGTGGTGGCACACGCAGGTAATCCCAGCACTTGGGAGGCTGAAAACAGGAGGATCATTATACCCAATCTATGTAGTGAGACCCTGTAGACTTTTACTAAAAATACAAAAATAAAATAAAATAAAAAAGAAACATAACGCATTAAGGAACAATGCTGAGATGGAATCATTCTGAGAAGGGACAGCTAAGCCAAGCGAGGCCTCTCTGGCCAAAGGTCTGCTGCCAGGGGACAGTGCGTCTCCCACCTCTTCCCACGGGCTACAGCAGACAGAGATCACTCTAAGCAATCACTCATGCTTTTCTTAAGCGAGCCCTTAACAGGGCACGTGCACGCCAGCCATCTCATTATAGAACAATATATGATTACGTGCCTGCCTCCTCCTGAGACCGTGGAGAGCATCCTCAGTGTGGCGTGAGACAGAAAACACCGAGCACTCGCGAGTCGAAGCCCACGTGTGGCCCTCGCCTGGGTGCTCTTTCTTAGTGCTGCTCTGGAGGTTCTTTGTGTGAATCCTACCCTTTTGGCCCCCAACACTGGGGATTGAACACAGGGTCTTTCCTGTTGTTGTTTTTGTTTTAATGTATGTGGTGCAGGGTCTCACTATGCAGCTCAGACGCACAGCTATCCTCCTGTTCTCAGCCTCCCCAGCGCTGGGATTACAGGCGCAGGCTGCCACGCCCAGTCTCGGTGGCCAGCTCAGCGCGCCTGGGGCGGGGCTGGCAAAACGTGGTGCCCAGCTGGAACCCAGATCCCCGTGCTTGCCC